CTCTTTTGATGGAGCCCAGGATACCATTTGCCTTCCGAGCCAAATGGTGGGAGAAAGGACACGACTTTCTGCAGGTATGACTAAAAAAGATTGTGTGATTATATCTGAATTGGCATATGTGACTTTTACAAAGATAACTGACTACAGACCCTTAATATGACTTCTTAGTTCTTATTTAGAGTGCTTTCAGAGCTGCTTTTTGGGCTACTGACAATCGCTTTTGGGACACATGCTGGAAATGGAAAAGTTATGGCTAACCGGATGCCTTCTTGAACTTAACCCTCATAAAGCAGAAGACAGAAACTCATGTGTAGAAGTTAGTAACCCATATGTAGAAGTTAGATCCTCTTGCTTTTTGTGGTTTAAAATGGCATCTCACTGTTGGTCCTCTGCCAGTAGGTAAACTCAAAGAGCCTTGGGTGGATTCTACCTCAATTCCCTTCCTACAATTGATGTTGGTTCCAACCCTTTGAAAATATCTCAACCTATTACCTCAGTTCATATGCAGGTCATATTTGAAGATGATCTTCTTAGTTTGTATGGATTAAAAGCTAAATTAACTCACTTTTCTAAAAAAAAATTTATATTTTTCTGAAAATAGGAATTTTCTGCTGAGTATAATTATTGTCTTCTCCTAGACAAATGAGCTTTTCTGATCCATATTGAGAGTATAACCTGTGGTGATGCGAGTTGTTCACAGGAAATGTAGAATATGTTGAGGGAAGAGAGACATGACCAAACTTGCAAACTTGATTGCAGAGTAGTAGTTCAGAGACACGCACAGCCAAGAGTTATTATTTGGTGACTGTCACTGGCCAAGATGTACAGGGCCTGTTCAAGTCACTGGGACCCTTCATTATGTTGAAATGTTCTCTCTTTCTACTTCAGTGTCTAACAGTGACAAAGATCAGGTGTTTCAGCTGCAAGAAACAAGGACTGGGGTAGCTATGTAATTCTCTGTAAGACAGAAAGCACATCTGTCTTTAAGTAGATCAAATCTATAGGAACAGTTTTACAAAGCAAACTCGTAAGTGATTTGTTATTTATTGTTTCTTGCTATTTTTTTCTGTGATCCTGAATTTGGTCTGCATTGTTTTATTTTTTGACATCTGATGTGCAGATATTTCTGAGCTGCATATCTCGGATGTGTAATTCCAGTAAATGGATTTCTATACTGCTTCTATTTCGACGTAGTCTGCAATTCAGCACTTTCCACAAATGGAAGGCTGTTATTCTAGCCAGTATTCTAGCCTTTTGAGTGGAATCAAATCAAACATGAGAAAAGTTTGGCATAGTAAGAAAGATGGTTCTTTACTTAAGTAATGCGTGGGTACAGACGCAATTTTTCATCAAAAGAAGGAGAATTTGAGTTTTAATTGTTAGAGCTTGTTTTAGCAGCATTTGCCATTACGTTTCAGCGTTTTTAATTTATAAAATACTTACTACACAGAATTAAAGATGCAGAGGGAATATTTTAGAATACTCTATTGCTTTTTTCTGCTGCAGCATTCAGAACCATACTTGTTATACTATTACAGCACCCTCTTTCAGGTAGGAGGATGTGCACAAAGGCATGTGACCTTGTGCTGTTTCTGTTTTGCTGGTGTCTTCCCTCATTCTCTCTGAGATTCTCTTCATCTTGTTCCAGATCATGTCTATAGGGTGCCCCATCACAGAAGCTAGACACACATCTCTGAGGCGTATCCACTATGATCTTGAAGATGCTTTCTGAGTTATAAGATTTGTACAAGAAATGTGTGAGGGAAGGAATGCTATCCAGAGGGACCTGGAAAGACTTGTGATGTGGGCCCATGCCAACCTCATGAAGTTCAACAAGGCCAAGTGCAAGGTCCTGCACCTGGGTCGGGACAATTCTGAGTACAGATACAGGTTGAGCAGAGAATGGCTTGAGAGATGCCCTGAGGAGAAGGATTTGAGGATGCTGGTTGATGGAAGAGTCAACATGAGCTGGCCATGTGTGCTTGCAGCCCAGAAGGCCAACCATGTCCTGGGTCACATCAAGAGAAGCATGACCTGCATGTCGAGGGATGTGATTTTCCCCTCTACTGTACTAATATTCCACCTGGAGTATTGCATCCAGTTCTGGGGCCTCCAGCACAAACGGGACACTGAGTTGTTGGAGCAGGTCCAGAGGAGGGCCGTGGTGATGATCAGAGGGCTGGAGAACCTCCCCTATGAGGACAGGCTGAAAGAGCTGGGACTCCTCAGCCTTGAGAAGAAAAGACTCCATGGAGACCTCCAGTACCTGAAGGGGGCCTACATGAAAACTGGGAATGGACTTTTTAAAGGGCGTTAGTGACAGGACAGGGCAAAATGGTTTTAAACAAAGAGGGTAGATTTAGGCTAGACATTAGGAAGAAATTCTTTACTGTGATTTTGGTGAGACACTTGAACGTGTTGCCCAGCAAAGTTGTGGATGACCCCTCTCTAGGAACATTCAAAGCCAGGCTGGATGGGGCTTTGAGCAACCTGGTCTAGTGGGATGTATCCCAGCCTATAGCAGGGGATTGGAACTAGTTGATCTTAAAGATCCCCTCCAACCCAAACCATTCTATGATTCTATGAATTCATTCAGGAGCAAGCTATTTATAGTACATTTTCTCTGCACAGAGGTACAGCTCTGTAAATCTGAGTAAAAGTTCATCAGAGTAAACAAGGCAGTGTTGGTCATGTGGGTACAAGAGGTCCCCTGAGAGAAAATGTCTTTTTATTCCAAAGTGAACATGCTTGTTGTGATTCCCTCTGAATAGCATTACTGTCTTATTTTTCAGTTTCACCATCACATCCAATTGATGTACTACATAGATGTAGTTAAAATGGCATGTATTTTTAGAAGGAATGTAGTATGTATGTTTAAGAACTGCTTTAAGGAAGTCCTTTTCCCTTCTTTTTTTTCCCCCCACCCCCCCATTAATTTGCTTATGAAACAACTATTACCAAAGGGTTCCTTTTTCCAAGACAAATTTATTAACTACAGATTATAGAGAATTTTTCAGTGGATTTATATGATTGCATACTGCATGACGACACACATAGGCTTGGTGAAATTCACCATGATTCTTTTCTCTTTTTCTGCCCATTTGAGTTATATGCCTGTATTTTCCAAAAGTGTTTAGGGTTTGTTTTGTTTTGCTTTTTTTTTTTTTTTTTTAATGAGTTGATAATGAACTGAAACTGAAATAACACTGCACAATTTCTCAGTTGAAAATTAAAAGCCTTTGGAGAGAAGTTTTAAAAACTTTTGGCCGTGAAGTTTAATGCCTCCCTCAGTATGCTCAAAAAAGGAAGCAAGCATAATTATTTTAATTGAATATGTTATTTTTAATTGAATACACAAGAATTGAAAAATCTCATCTGACTTGAAGATCAGAGTTCTAAAGGCACATTATAAACTCCTCACGATACAGAAGTAAGTTATCGCTATGTTTTGCAGTAAAGCCTTCCACCACTCTCCCTTGTCATTGTGGCACGCAAACCAGAAGAGAGCAGTTAAAATACAAGCGCAGCTGTAGTGCAAGTGTTTGAGCTCTCTTCTACAAGTTTGTGATGACAAAGCAAGCTGATGCACAGGAAGGTATGAGGTGTCCTCAGGACAGCCCTTCCTTTGTAAGGAGGACCTGGAGGCCTTACTGGCATATCAGTCACATGGAAGTCATTTCAGTCACCCTGGAGGTGTTCAAGACCAGGTTGGATGGGGATTTGAGCAACTTAATGTAGTGGGAGGTGATCTTGCCCATGGCAAGAGAGTTATAACAAGATGATCTCTAAGTCCCTTCCAACCCAAACCCAAATCATTCTATGATTCTATGAACAGCATACTTAAAAGTATCACGGCTGTTGGGATTTTGGCACATTTTTCATGGAGTACATCTGTGTAGCTAACGTATTCAGTCTAAAAGAAGAGAAAAAAGAGAAAGAAAGGGGAAAAGTTCTTCCTTTGGAAATTTTACTTAGAAATGATTTTTTTTTTTTTAGATTTAGAAGAGTTTTCTTATTGAAATTTATTTTCTTTTTGTTTCACAAATTTAAAAGAATTCTGGAAATCAAAATAAGTGATTTAGATGAGCTATAAACTAAGTTTGATTTCTTGTTGCACTTACAGTTGTGGATTTATTTTTTGGTTTCTGGCAAACTGAAGAATCTGTGAGCAGCATCTAACAACGAAAGAGAAAAGCAGTGTAGAAAGAACCGCAGTAAAACTGTAGGTTGTAATGCTAATAGCAGAGGCTGACTGTTCTGCACCAAGGAGTCACCTTTGGTTTTACAAGGTCTTCAGAAGGGAAATACTTATATAGTGTAAACTCTGTGTTTTGATTTCAGTGTGGTGCTGGTTATATACACTCTGAAAATGCTGCCCAAGGTCAGTAACAATATTGACAGAATGAGCACTCATTCAAAGTAAACATCAAAGACAAGTTAGCATTGCAGGCACAGTAATATTTAACACAAACAGTTAACAATATGGTGGGTTTTTTTATTTTGTTTTGTTTTTTTTAAGAGGAACTTAAACCTTATCCACTCACACAGACCTGCTGTATGTTCAGGTATGTAACAATTATTGCAACTGATATTTTGAGGAAGGTTTTCATAGACACAAGGAAATATATGTTGATCTTCGTGGATTCTGTGATGTGGTTGATTTATTTGATTCTTTTTCAGCTTAAATTTAGCATGTTAAAAAAAAAAGATAAATTTAAAATTTGTACAGTGTACACTAAAAATAGTGTGTGTGAGCTATTTATTTGCTGTGTTGGTAATAGTACACGCTTAACTACCAGCACAGAGTTGAGATTGATGGTATTCTAATGGAATATTTTCTATGCAAGAACGAATGCTGCTGTGAAACAAAGCAGAAATTCTCCAAGTGTTAATAAACTTTGTTGTTGTTTTAATTTTAATTTTATTTTTTTTTTTTTTTTTCTTTTTAGGATGATTTGGATTTATCGGACTTTTTATTTCATTTTCTTACTTGCTTCAGTTTACAGTGGTAAGTCAATATATATCTCATAAGATTGGTATAGAGTAACACATGCCTTCTAGGAACGAGCAGTTAAAAAGAGTAATATTCAAAATGACCTGAATATGTATTTGTATGTGTAGTGAAGTGGGTAGAGCTACTGAGCAGCATGATTTTGGAAGGGGGACACATATTGGCACATACAACCTGGTCCCAAGAGAGTGGGGTTGCACTCTGTTAAGTCTGGGTAGCTCATAGGGGGGATGGAAGTTTCTAATTAATTTTTTGATTCCTATTATTAGGATGGAAGATTTTAATAGTTTTTGTTTGGTGCTGAAGTCTGCAGTGACTGTGTTTTTCAATGTCAGTATGTGTTAATGGTTTACTTTGGCTAGCAGAAGGTCATCTACAAAAACTCACATTCCATTTCCCTGAAATTCGCTATGCCAAAGGATTATAACCAGTGCCTAACAGAGTTTATGTTTAGCAATGTATTAACCATTCTCAGTGGACAATGAGATAGTTATGGTGGGGTTTTTTTTTAGCAAAATCTGTTTGACAATTGTACTATTATTTCAGAAATATTTTATGTGGATAGAAATTTAAGTAGAATAAAATCTTAGAAAATTTCTGAGGCTCCAGATATTTTTCAAGTTCAAATTTCATATTAATAAAATATTAACTTTAAAAAAATAGCAAATTCTACAAACATTCCCAGTAGTTCAAGTGACTTGAAAGGTAGGAAGTTTATAAAATGCTGAGAACCACTGAAGTTGTTTCACACATGGCACCAGCTAGGAATCTGGACTCAGAAAATCCCTCAACAACTGGACAAAAATTGGACTACCCTCACATATTTTCTAGCTCCTTTTGCCATCTGTACATCCTTCTCCTGATTTTTCTCTTAATGGTTCTCTGTACCAGTCTCCCTTTGAAAATGCTTCTGCTGCTCCTGAAATCTGCTGTGAAGGGTCCTCACCTCATGGCCTGTACCTTAGGGCATCTGCCACCACTCAAGCTGCACTCCTACAGCCTTGAGCATAGAGCGAGGGATTCCAGAAGGTTTCTGATTTACTAGGCTGTAGAGCAGAGATGATGCTTTCGGAGGAACTGTGCTACTCACCCCACTTACTTTCTTCTCCTGCCAAAGGGGTTTTCTCCTGCCAAAGCATGGTAAATAAGGGGCAATGTCTTCACCCTCTCCTGGTGAGCTGTCCACACCCACATCTCTGATAATTTACTCGTTTTGTCATTTCATATCAGAATGTGTGACACAGATCTATGAAAATACTTACTTCCAAGGAGGAGACCTCACTACGGTTTTCACACCAAGTGCCAATTACTGTCAAATAGTTTGTACTTACCATCCTACCTGCCTGCTCTTCACATATTTGCCAGTGACGTGGACTAAAGATCCCGCACAGAGGTAAAATGTTCATATTCTTTTGACTTTTTGCTGTGATAATTTTAGGAACTTGGTAATGTTCTGACAGAACATGGGCATGCACAGAAGGTTACAGGGTTGCTTTGGAAGACTATGTCATGTATCTTTAAAACTGATGACATAAAAGGGTATTTGCTGAACTTTGAAAGATTAAATTTGGCAACATCTAATCTTTCATACTTGCTTATCAACACCTCCAAGGAAATAGCACCAACTATGCATTCCTTCCTCCACGCCACTTACTTATTGTTGAGGGACTAAGTGGCCAATTTCATGTTTCCAGTTGTCACTTCTGTTGCCCGTCACCCCATCCACTCTCATTAGCATATTTTTCTCTCAATTAAGAAATTAAGAATTTCAATAGCCTGAGGTGAGGCTACCTTTCCTCTCTGTGCCTGTTGTGTTTCTGTCTCCAAACTGTGTTGGTCCCACACACACCATATATGCTCATCTATCACCAAGCATACTAGTACCAACTTTGTCGCTATTTAAACTCAACTTGTTTTCATTTTCATGTTGAGGATTAATGTACAACCTGTGTTTTACTTGAGAAACAATGAGGGAGTACTATGTTATACTGCAAAACTGTGAATTACTCCTTTTTAAAACAGGTTCTCCTGCTACTTAAAAGACAGTGATACCGAAATGCTACCAAAAGTGAAGATGGAAGGAGCTATTTCTGGACATTCTTTAAAACAATGCAACATCAAAATTAGTGGTAAGATACAGTTATCCATATGTGTGAATTCTGTGTTCTATATCACATTGCAAATGTGTTAGAGAATCAGCATTTTGAAAACAGAAACTGAATCAGGAAGTGGCCAAGATGTCTTTGCCCAGATGTCTTTTGCCATATTCCTTTCAAACATAACACAAAAATCCTGTGCTGGTTTCATGCTTCAACCCCAACTATCCTCCAGAGGCTTCCCAGTCAAGGCAAGCCCCTGCTGTCAGGATTTCATTTGCTAGAGGCAAAGGTGGGAGGCATTTAACTGATACCTTGAGTTCCAAAGATGAATTTGAAGGGTTAAGTGGATCTTACTTTATGCAAGTTTTCCATTGAAGTTATTGATAGATTGGTTGCGTTTTCTTCTGATTGGAACATGTGTTCCAGAGCATTCAAGTCTTTTAAAATCCCTTTTCTGTCAGCTTTCTGTCACATTTATATTTCTGTATAGATTTAGACCAGAATAGTACGTTTTAATGGGATGTTATTTTTCATATTCTTTAGATAATTTATGTCATAGGAGTTACTTTAGAATCATGCTAATGTCACTAATATAAAAATCTATACATGTGTGTTTAAAAACCCCACCAGTGTTTGGCTGACTCACGTGTTCTGTGAAGAGACCATACTGACCAAGGGGTAAAACCTTTATCCTTAGTAGGGAAAGTATTTCAAACTCCATGCTCGTAGTCCTACCTCTGTGGAGTGTAAATTGAATCTTCTGGCTCAAATGGGAGATGGCTATTGCTTAGATAGACAGATTTGGTATTTTAAATTGCTGTATAAATTTGGAAATAGAATAGTATACATTTTGGTGTTGATCCTGAATTTTTGTATGATTAATCTCATCATGGTCTTGGTGTGGATAGAAACAGTGTTGTAGCTTGTTGTTTTTTTTTCTCTGACATGATATGCCTTATACTTTTGATTTTGTTTTTAGTAAGTATATGCAAAATGCAACGTAACTGAAGTGAGCACAGGAAGTGACATCAGGATAATGGCCATGTCTTGTGAACTGCTATTGTTTGGGAAGTTCTGGGGGAAAAGAGAGTATGAGAATGTTTTTGGAACTTTGTCTACTCCTTTTTTTTTTCACAGCTTGCAGTCCAGATGTCCACTTAGGATTGGATATGCAAGGGGTAAATTATGACATTAGTATAGCTGACAGCTATCAACAGTGCCAAAAAAGATGCACCAATGACAAGCACTGTCATTTTTTTACATACGCCCCAAGAACATACCATGATGCAAGCTTTCGGTAAATATGCATTTGATCCCTTTATTTAGATGTACTTAAATTCCTGTGCTTTAGTACACTAAATCTCATAACAGTCAGAGGTGAGAGAATTTATTCAAGGAAATGAGTTTTTCTTTAACTAGTCATCCTTGTAATATTTATTCAAGTTTACAGTTAGGAAAATATCTTCAGTAAGTTAGTTTTCATTTGTCCATTGATGAGAAAGGCAGGCTCGATTTTCATAGAACTGAAAACAATTTATTCTGGAGATACTGAAATGCAAATTGTACTGGCAACTGTGCAGTGGTATTGCTCTGTCAAATCTTACTCTGCTTACTGCTCTGAAAATGCAGCCAGGGGAGTTCTTTCATTTGTACTTGGACTATTTTTGAGCTGTCAGCTTGCTTGGTTTTACAAATTGTCATTCAGTTGCATCCATTCCTTATTTGAAGATTTTTCTGGAGGCTGGATATTGGTCTGGCCTATGAGCAAAGTGGGCATTATGGTAGGACTCATGGAAACAGAAGAATGATGTAAACCAAGGAAGATAACCTGTTGTCTTACTACTTTCTTTATTCTTTATCACTCAGTGAAAAATGCTTCTTGAAACATACCAGTTTAGGAACTCCAACCAGCATAAGGGTGCTTGATGAGGTTGTGTCTGGATTCTCCTTAAAGCCATGTCAGCTTTCTGAATTAGGTAACTGCTTACAATCTCTGTTGATTTAGTTTAGGTTCAAGTGTTATGGATGATGAGATGCAGACTCTCTGACATGCATAGATGTTTTGTGACATAAAATAATTATAATATAAACTTATTCTTTGAAGTACAGTTAGTACTCTCAGGAACAAGACAGACTTTTTTCCACAGTATTATTCTGTCTTACAAAAGGTTTTTTTACTTTGATGATATGAAGAATTCTTTCATAAGATTAGCCTGATGACTCTTAGCATCTTATCTTTGCACCATAGACACAAAAAAAATGACACACAGAATCCCATCTAAGTCAAAGAACAAGAGAAATATAAGTCTTTCTAAATTCTGTTAGTGTACCATATATACTTCAAGAGATTTTTAATGAGGATGTGCAGCTTTGTGATACAACAGACTAATATGAAGGTACAAATTCTGTTTGTTGGTGTTTTTGATAAAAGCACTGTTTGTGTTCATTCTTGTAACCATTACTCAGGAAAAATTCTCCAGAGTGCATGATCAAACTGTGTGCATTATATCTTACTTTTAATTATTCAATTAAAATTCAGTTTTATTCAGACTCTTCTAATCTCACAAGATGAATAATCATTGCAAAATATTGAAAAAATAGTTCATTCAGATCCTAACAATGAAGACGTTTAAAGAAAAATGAATAATGAGGAATAAAAAAGGAAGAAAAATCTTTGTAAAGAGAAGAAAATCTGTTTTTTCTCTCTTTCTCCTTCTCTCTTGCTCTCTGAGAAAGAATGGAGAGGAGATTTTCTTCCAAATTGCTCCTTTAAGATAAGCTAGTAAGACATGTATTTATTGTTAGAAGAAAAATCACAGTAGCCAGGAACATCCCATTGACAGACTTTGAGAAGGATCAGAGGACTGTAGCATAAGCACAAACAGTATGATATTCAGATTTTATAAAGTCAAATAAATCAAAGACCATAGGAGAATTTATCAAGGGCATGTGGTAACATGAAATTAATGATCCATGACAAAAAAAGTAAAAATTTCTGAATGCACGTGAAATTCAATCTTGTTCCTATCTCTTTGTGTGTGTGTGTTTGTTGCAAGAAAGGCAAGGATTTAGAGAGAGAAAGAAAGAATAAATCATAAATCATGAGACTATAAAATCCTAGACAATACTATCAGGTAATGAGGTCATTTGTTCAGAGGTATGTCTAATACATTAGTAAAATCTCAGTGTCATCCTCTGCCTTGTTGTGTTCCAAACGCCTGTAATGTTTTTACCTGAAAATTTGTTCTAGTTTATTTCTGACTATTTAGACTGACTAATCTTAGATTGTTCATGATCCAGCTTCATCATTTTAAAAACAGATACTAGGCTTCCCTTTCAAAGCCTTTGGAATCACAGCAATCCTCTGTATATAACAAAAGCAAAACTACCAAGAAACTGAGATTCCTTCAGTCTAAGAACACTGAATTCATCAGTTTTATGAGATTTCTCTATTTTCTGTTCCTTGTTCTCTTCCCTCTGCTCAGTAATGTTGACCATCTAATTACAGTTTGTTTTCATGAAAGCGAGATGTTAAAAAAGGAAGTTCTGTAGCCTTTCTTGAGTCCATTGTCATTAACTTCTTCCCTGACCAGAACCCAGGCTCCTTTCCTAATCCTAATTCACTGGCACTAAATACATACTTTTCTTCTGAGAATGTTTCTTGCTACTTGCCCTTTCATTTTCTGTCTTTGCCTTCCTGCTTTTGTTCTTATGCACTCCTGCTCGTACTTGTCCATAGCAATTTGTCATACATTTTGCCTTTTGCAAAGTTTCTTCCTTGAGGTCACTGAATATTGAACTGGTGATCACTGAAATCATGATTAGTATCCACATACTTGCAGATTCACATTTCTGATTTAAATATCATTCCCTGAAAATGGTATTTGTTCTCCTGAACTCTATTTTGCCCTTAACATCTGATCTTGCCTACTAATTGTCAGAATTAATTGACCTTTATTTTCTATTCTTCAGATTTTTTTTCTCTTTGCTCTTTCTATTGTGTAATAAATGACCTCTATTGTGGTCTTTTCTTGTTTATGGTTTTATTTTTTAATTTTTAAATCACATCGTACTAACAGAAGTCACATTAAGATTTGCCTCCCCATTTTGTTTTTTTCCCCCTTTTGTAATAAGATGCTCCCAGTATGTTTCTGTAACCAACTGTGTGGTGCCAACTGTGTGGTATCAGCTCAGCTACTGTCCTTTCTCAGAGTAGAGGTTCTCTGCTTCCACCAAGTCCAGTCCTACAGTTTTATAATTCTAAGAGTAGTGCTGCATTTTTTCCCCCTTTTTATTGTTGCATAAGTATTTTAACTAGGAATTCAAGTGTATCATCAAAGAAGGCAACTCATTAATTTCTTTTAAACATGTTGGTATTTCCTGTGACTTCCATACCCATAGTCTTGTTATGGGAATTAGCCTGCCAACCGTCTGTTATTTTGATCCTGTTATAGGGAAGACTGCATGTTACTCGTACTTAGTCTGCCTACTTTTTGAAATAACATTTAGATAAATAAAATTAAGAGAATCATCTCATCATTTTCCTCCTAGTCTTCCCATTATCCTCTTAGGTATACAAATTTTAATAATTTTAGGCCTTGACAGGATTAGTAAGTTTTATTTCTAACTAGGGATATGTATGTTGATTTCTTTTCCTAATTTAGAGCTCTCCATATTGGATTAGCCAATTTGTATTCTAGCATGTAATTTGAAACTCCTCCCTGCTCTAGCTCTCTCTATGAGTTTAATACTTAAAAATGTTTTCAAGAAATAGTTTCTGGCTAAAATGAGATTATGTCTTTCCAGTTTATCAGGCAAAAAGGAGAGAAAATGTAAATTATGGGAATGTATAATCTGTAAATCTTAACTCTCTGATATAACATAGAAGATTTGGAATTTTGACATTCTTTTCTTGTTTTACACAGATTGTCAAATGGACATTTTTGAACATGAAGAATTCTCAGGAATTAATGTTACAAGTTTTTTCACTCCTGACACGTTTGTCTGCCAAACTATTTGTACTTATTTTCCAAACTGCTTGTTCTTTACATTCTTCACCAAGGAATGGCAAATAGAATCCCAAAGGTGAATTTGACAACTTTTAACCCTCTGAAAGATATTTATTTAAAAAAAAAACAACAACAAACAAACAGAAACAACCCCACAATTACAGCCTTTTAAATCACCATTTTATTATACTTTGTTAAAGGTTTATATTATATATTTTATATTATATATATTATATTATATTATATTAATATTACATATTTTATATTATATATATTTATACATTGTTAAAGGTTTATTTTTGGTAAAACAGCTTTTTTTTTTTTTTTTAATAATTTTTAATGAGTTGCATCTGTACATTTATAATTTCTTGTGGGCATTTCACTTGTCCTATGGTATGAGCAGGGATCTTGTACTTCAGCTGCATATTTGGTATTGATCTGAAAAAATATATGTTCAGCAAAGAGACAGCCTTCAGGTTGTTTTGATAACTTAAAGCTGAATTTTATGAAATTGTTAAGAGATGTCTGGTTTCCTAGCAGAATTAAGTTATTTACTTTCAAGATTTTGAATCAAGTTAACAGTGTTTATTTTTAAAGATTGAACTTCTTTCTTTCATGTTTGACAGTGAAGAGTCAAAAAGTTACAGTCTGCTGAAAACAGAGATGGAACGAAGAATAACGTTTCAATGAAACTGAAGCAAAACTGAGATGGCATATATAATCTAAAGTTACCTCTTCCCTGTGTGTATAAATACCATACAATCTTCAGTAGTACATCTGTATGACATTTCACATAGCTACAAAATCCTTCTAATTAACTTAGTGAATACATTTTCATATTAAATACTTTTACAGATAAAACTTTGGAAAAAAAAGCACATCTAAGAAAGAGCTTTCCCTTACCAGTACCTGAAACATAAATGTTAGAATGTAAGAATAAATTCAATCTTTTTTTTTTCTTTTCTTTTTTTTTTTTTTAATTATAGAAATCTTTGCCTCCTGAAAACATCAGCAAGTGGAATACCAGAAGCACTTACATTACGAGAAAATGCTATTTCAGGTTTTGGTCTCCTAAATTGCAGAAGATACTTTCCTGGTAAACAATAAGTTACAATAAAAATACAACTCTTGAATTAATGAAATGAATAGACCTACTGATGCTTGGAACACGCTCATTCTTACAGCCTGCAATTCTCGCACTTACGTGCATATGAATTTTTTGGGAGATGAACTCAATGTCACTTATACTAAAGGACCCAGAGCTTGTCAGCAGGTTTGCACAGACATGATCCGCTGCCAATTTTTCACTTACTTTCCCTTCCAAGAGTCATGCAATGAGGAAAGGTGAGAATTCTTAGGGAAGGCATCTAATGCGTGTGTTCTGTATAAGAAGTATAAACTGCATCTTTGTATTTATTTGTTGTCAGAAAGTGTGAGTGTCATCTAAGAATGTCCTCAAATGGATCTCCAGTGGAAATACAACATGGGCCAGGAAGGATCTCTGGATACTCACTAAGACTATGTAAAAAAAAGGCCAGTACTGGTAAGTAAAACTTTCCTTTTAAAGAGATTTTTAGATATACTTTGGTACAGGAAACCTAAGCCCTCCCACTTTTTTTCTCTTCTGAATATTACTTGCATAGAAATTATCACAAGGCAGATAGTGAAGATAAAGAGTATTCTAAAAGAGTGAACTCTGCACAGCCTGCATAACAGACAGTACCCTGTAAACTTTAATCTGGATTTTATGGTTAAGAAAAAAAAGTCGTAAAGGGATTAGAATGTCTGAAGTTCTTTGCTTAAGATTTGTTCCTATTTGTAGGTTAGCAGTAGTTACATCTTTTTTTCATGATCAAATGAAAATTATCTTTAAGCAGTTTTCAATTATTTCTGTAGTATGCATGCAGCATTCTTCAAGAAATATTAGGATAATTGGAGGGACAGACTCTTCCCCTGGTGAATGGCCATGGCAAGTAAGCTTACATGTGAAGCTATCTCGCCGGAGACACCTCTGTGGGGGTTCTATCATAAGTAACCAGTGGATCCTTACAGCTGCCCACTGTTTCATGAGGTGAGTCCTAAATGTAAATTTACACATAAAAATTTCATCCAAGATCTCCAATTAGATGAGGTTCACCTTTCAGAAAGATAAATCTGTGTGATTAAAATAACTAGAACAGAATCAACTACTTTGATATAATCAGAAGGTGAAATTTTAAGGTAGTCTGTTCATACTCTTAACATAATTGGCCCTCCACACTTTGCCCTTTGAAGCATAGTGCTGTGCTACAGATTATTTTAATGCATCTAAAGTAGATGATAGATACCTACAAGAGTGTAAACTTTCTCATGCAACATGAACTTTTTCTTACTGTGATATCATATTATCAAGGAAAATCTGTTGTTAAGTTAGTCATTCAAAGCATATGAAATGGAATATCAGAGATTTCTCTGTGGTACTTAGGAAATTGTACCAATCTGACAGGGTGTTCGGCAAAGGCCTGGACACAAGGTAAATCTCTAAGGGGTCCAATTAGGCTGACACTGGAATATACATTACCTTTCTCTGTAACATTCAAATCCTAATTGGATTGGTTTTCATTTAATATTTTTTATTTTCTAATGCTATCAACTAGTCAATTAACACACTGTTTTGGTACAGATTTCAGCCTTGGGAATAATATCTAGACTTCTGAGTACTCAAAGCTTTGCTAATTTGCATGGAGATATATAGTAGGTACTGTTAATGACCACAAAATTGCCGTCACATTTAAGTTGTGAAATCATGTGTGTTGTGAAGAGCTGATTTAATGATCTTGCGCATGATCCATATCCTCATTAGAAGATCACACCCTGTAAAGCAGGTAGGCCTGTCATTTATAGACTGAAAACTGTAAGGCTATATATTGAGTCAGTGTAATGTCAGAAAGGCACAGGTAGTATAAAATCCTTTAATGAATAAAAAATTGTCTAGGCTAAAATCAGACACTCTTACTCAAGCATTTTTGTACATTATCCCTTATTGTTTCAGCATAAAGAAATATTGTCAATACCAGTTCTCCATTGACAAACCTTATAAAACTGGATAACCCCACTTAACACTCAGAAAAACCCAGTATAGGGAATATGATTCTCTACCATCTATTCGGTATTGTAGAGTTACCAGCATTATAAAGGACAAAAGGAGAACTTGTCTAAAGAGTAAAAAAGTGTAGACTGTGTTCATTAGAAATGACTAAGGTCAACTGATATTTATGAATATACACATAAAATCTTCAAAACAATTTTTTTTAATATTGAAGACACGTTTTGCATCTTCTTCGATGCATGTATCAAAATTTTTAGGTTGCCCTAATAGTAGAATACCACAATGAAATAACCCTTAAATGTACCCAAAGAAAAGTTGAAATCATAAATATTAAGTGAAACGTTTTATATTGGTCTGTGGTATTATATTTTCTATTTTCTTTTATTTTGGTGTCTGAATAGACTCTACTTGAGTTTGTTTTTCCACCTCTATTTTGGTTACTACAGATGTTGCTGTACTGGAATGAGAATGGAAAGAACCTCTTTTACTTCCTCAGGGTTTGTGTTAGGCTCCTGAAGATAAAAATAGTAAGAGCAGAGTAAAACAGAAAATGAAAGAAGGCAGAAGGGGAAATTGGGTTAAAAAGGGTCGGAACAAGAGTGTGACTGTAAGGGAGAGGAAAGAGTGTATGGTGCTGAAAATATCGATAAGAAGAGGAACAAAATAAATGAAAAGTGGGAGGAATGGATAAGAGAAATCTGTTTTTAGGTTTGACAGTGTGAAAATACAACTGGGAAGAGTAACGTCAGTGCTTTTCACTGTATGCTCAGAAGATACTGGCACCTGCACCAAACTAAAGCAGTGCAAATCTCTGTCTTTTTCCCTTAGTGTTCAGAACCCCAACATTTGGCGTGTTTATGCTGGTGTTTTAAAACAATCAGAAATAACTGAGGATACACCTTTCTTCAGAGTGGAAGAGATTATTATTCATCCTCAGTATAATTCTGCACAGACTGGATATGACATTGCTTTACTGAAACTTGATAAGGCTATGAATTTTACTGGTATGTATACTATCTCAGAAGGAAATGTGCAGGATGATAAAGGCTGTTTTTAGTGTGACAGTTCATGAAATCTGGGTTGTCATTTTTTAATATGTAATCACTTGGTTTTAAGGAGAATATCATTTTGCTGGCTTTTTAAAGAAAATGTGGGTCTTTTATTTATGTGACTAGGGCAGTATCTAGTAAAATGTACAAAGAATAACATGGAGGCCATCAGGTATTATGTAGGTGCGCCAAAAACCTTAATATTTTAGTAATTGGCCAAACTAATGTTTTTAATCATATTTTAGATCTTCAACTTCCTATTTGCCTGCCATCGAAAGAAGAGGCTAGCATGCTCTATACTGACTGCTGGGTAATTGGATGGGGTTACAGGAAGGAAAGAGGTACAGATAAATATTTAAAATGTGACTACTTGTATTTGTAAAATGCATTGTGTTAAAAGAAAATATCATAAAATGCCCTTTTAATTCTTAACCAGGAATGGTGTTTATGGACTATGCAAAGAAAGTGCATTTGCTCATAGCTTTATTTATGTGAATTCAAAGCAGTAATAGAGTCATAGAATCACCGAGGTTTGAAAAGACCTTCAGGATCATCCAGTCCAACCTTCCACCTACCACCAAGGTACAAGCCAGGATATCATTAGCCTTCTTGGTCACCTGAGCATGCTGCTGGCTGATGTTCAGCTGAGCTTTGAATAATACCACCAGGTCTGTTTCTTTCACACTCTCTTTTAGCCACTCTGCCCCAAGCCTCTAGCGTGGTCTGGGGTTTTTATGGCCAAAGTTCAGGACCTGGCACTTGATCTTGATCTTCAACCCATTGGCCTCAGCTCAGCTATCCAGACCGCTCATATTGCTTTGTAGGGCCTTCCTACACCAAGACACAATGAAGCTTCCTCTCAACTTGATGTCTTCTGCAGACCTACTGTGGGTGCACTCATTCCCCTCATCCCAGTCATCAGTAAAGATAATGAACACGACAGGTCCCATTACTGACCCCTGGGGAACACCAGTCATGACTGGTTGCCAGCTGGATTTAACTCCATTCATCACCATTTTCTGGGCCTGGCCATCCAGCCAGTTCTTTACCAAGCAAAGAGCTTATCTGCCCAAGCCACAGGCTGCCAGCTTCCTAGGGGAATACTATGGGAGACAGTGTTGAAGTCATCAGAGTCAGTGGGCATGAATTCCTATAGATGGATTCTCTACATTCTTTCCTGCTTTCCTGCTCCAGGTAGATGAATGCAAGTTGCCTAGTTAAACATCGCCATGTACCCTCCCAAATATACTTTCAGTTATGCAATGATATGTTACACATACAGATAATAGACTAATTGCTGAATTACAGTCTGAACATAACTCATGTTTTTTTAAATATGTGATTTTGTTCATATGACTTCACTTCAGAAATCAGAGATCAATGTATATTACTTCCATGATTCTAAAGGTTGTTTATGAAAAGTATTAATGACTTTCGTGTTTTAATAGTAAGTGTGTTTTGAACTCCTCTAATCTTACCCGGAAGCTGGCCAAGTAGCTGTTAATTATTAAACTCTGTTACATTACATATATAGATAAGTCTGTTTAAACAGAGTTCCCTTCTCTGCACACCTCCCCATTTGAGAGTTAGAGATTAATGTGACATCTAAAAGAATTCTCATTTCTTCTATTAATTTGTCAGAAAAGACTGCTCTCAAATACTTTTATTCACTTTAGATGAAATTTTCACCACCCTGTGGACAACAGGGGTGTTGGCCAGCACACATCTGGAAACTGTATTTCTTCAATTGTATTGCAACATATTACTAAGAAATAATTATCAATAACACAAAGCAACAATCTTCATGGGAATACAGGCTCCAAGACACAATGTCCCTGAAAACAATATACACACGCAGCTTCACAGCAAATCACTGGGGAGTTTCAAAACATTCTTGGTCATAAGTCATACTGTGTTTTCAAAACATTCTAAAAAACTCAGACAATCAACACTGTATAAAAAATGAAAACAAATGTCATGGCTGTCTAACTGCACACTAAAAGCAATGAACTCTGACTTTTTAATATAACTGAATGGAGACTTTTAGAATATAGTTTTAACTTATACTTTGCTAGAACTGAACATCTGATCGTAACATCTATTACATAGGTCGTGTAGAAGATATTCTTCAGAAAGTTACTGTTCCTCTAATGTCAAAAGAGGAATGCCAGGCAAGATACCGGAAACGCAGAATAGATGACAAAGAGATCTGTGCTGGCTATGACGAAGGTGGAAAGGATGCCTGTAAGGTAACAGAAAGATGTCATATATTTCAATAATTTGTTTGAATATGTAATTGAATTACATAAATGTTTAATTTTCATAACAAGCATATATTTATAAATAGAACTGTTTTTTAATGTGTTACTTTTGCTTGCTGGAAGCACTGACAGTCAACGTATATGTGTAGCATTTCTTATGCAACATTGAAATCCTTTGGGATAGACTTCATGTGTCTACAAGTAAAGAATCTCCAAGTGGGGAGGGAGGGAGAGAGAGAGAGAGACAGAGAGAGAGAGAGAGAGAGAGAGAGAGAGAGAGAGAGGGGCATGCATACTCTTTACTTCTCTGCGCTCTCCTATTAAGGGGACAAAGTTAACTTCCCTCTATGCGTCTCAAGTTAAGAGACAAAATTCATTGGTTTGCTAAGAATTATACAACTTCCCCTTAAAAAAAAAAATATGTGAAGAGCATGTACAGAGATCATAAAGTATGAGTTCTAACTATCATATATTTAGGGAGCAGACCAGTATTCCTCTGTAATAGTGGAAAACCAGGAACACAGATTTCTTTTCTTGTGTTTTTATTTCTTGACATGAAATATAGTACACAAAAGCTTATTTTAAATCATCCCCTATCCACAAGCATCCAGAGCAGAGAGTGTTAGAAATGGAAAACAGAAGGTTATAGACAGCATAAGCAGACTGGTCTGTTCATTATTACAATTGAAAATATCACAACAGCATGAGGTCAGTGAGCCAAGTTTTCTGCTTGAGTGTAAACTCATGCACTTACTGTTAACTTAAATATTTTCAGTCAATTATAATAGACAAAAACATAGTCACATTAGTAAGATTAAATTCTCTGCCAAATATAGTATACATTTTAAGCATTTAAGATATATTCTCTATTAATGTACTGTCATTATGATCACTGTTGACTAACTACAAATAAAAGTTCTTGGAGCTGGGAAGTCATTATTTCCTCAGTAATAGTTAAGTTTTCTGTGTATGAAACAGCATCAGAACATGATCATGATGTTATATAACAATAACACACTTACTATTGTCTCAGCAGCTTATAACAGCTATATTAAAGAACTCTATGTTCAGAAAGATCATTGAGGAATAGTAAAAGAAAACAGAGATGTGTTTTATCCCAGGGAAGATGGTCAGTCAAGCAGGATAATGCATGCATACAGCTGAGGTTTGCATATCAAAACAAACAAACAAAAACACTGGCAAATTTACTAATTTTCTTACCCATACATGTTGTAGTCCTCTTAACTGGGGGTTAAACTGGCAAATACAGATAAGAAAGCCAACCGAACAAAAAAACCTAATAACATTGAACTGTAAAGGAACTTACTTACAATAACTGGAAAGTATTAAGACACCATTCTACCAGATAAACAGAAAAACTTCTTTGACACTGTGTAAAGCAACTTTAAGTAAGAGTAATTGAACTCTATGCAGTTATTCAATTGTTGACACTGGATGATGCTGATTTTATCATGGCTTTCTTTGAGAGAGAAATTTTGTTCCTTGTGAACTCTTTCTGTCCTATGACACAGGGAGATTCTGGAGGACCACTGTCGTGCAGGCACGAGGAAGTGTGGTATCTGGTGGGCATCACCAGCTGGGGCGAAGGCTGTGCTCGGCCCCGGCAGCCAGGAGTCTACACAAAAGTTGTTGAATTTTCAGACTGGATTTTGGAAAAAACTACATAACATGAACATAACTTACTGACTCATAATGTTGTTGTAGAGAAATAAACCTGGGAGCAACAGGATGATGTTCAATGTAAAAAAAAAAAATGTATTAAAGTTTTAAAAATGGTGTTTCCTGTTAGCTCGAAGCATAAAAGACTTGATTAAAGAAGTAGAAAAGCAAAAATGAATGAACTTTACAATGAATGAATGAATTAAAATCAGTAGCAAAAGTAGACTTTCTGATCACTGATTTGTCAGAAAATATAATACATCTGAGCCATTGACTTCTTTCATCTCTAGCATAAAATATTCTATGAGACTTGTTTAGGGAGATCAGGGATTTTTTGTTTACTTCAGTGATGACAGGACCTCCTCCTCTTCTGTAAATATAACTGAAAGTAACAATGATTAAGAGAAAATATTAAAAGGCCAGGAAAATCTGGCCTATAGTCCAAAAGGTCATTGATGACAGACTGCAACTGACATTATAATCCTCTTGATTAAATAAACTATCTCAGCTACAGAATAATTTTGGTTTTACCTTGGTAATATCTTTTCCATTTTTTTCTCCTTTTTTTCTTTTGTTCTTTCTATTTGTTTTTAATCAGGGAACAAAAATATTTTGTAGCCAAAATAAGTACTAATGTGAGAAACAGCAGTCAAACTATTTTTTTCCGTAGTAAGAAGTTCTCCAGAAGTATTTCTGGATCAGAAGGGAGCACACATTTTTCTTTCACTTCTGTCTTTGCTAAACTTGTTTCCTAATACTCTACATTGTCTTCATTGCTGAAAATATGTTCCAGAATTCTGTTTATGACTGCCTCACAGCCACACTGAGTGTGTTGTAGAGGTCTATATTGGCAGTGTCTTTAGGAGTAAATGAAGTAATTATTAAATAAAATATGTCAAATTTATGGAAAAATACTCATCAAGCTGCCATAAATGAGTTCAACATATATATTTTTTAAGCATTATTTGCAACAATTTTCACCAAGGAAAAATGAAATTCCACAACTACAAGGTTATGAACTACTATACCTGTTCTTAACCCTACTAAGAGCCCCTGTCATGAGTGAGCTCTCTTGGTACTCTAAATCCCTGCTTTGAGAACTTCTATGCTGGCTGCAGCTGTTCAGAAGCCCAAAAGACAAAGGTGGGAGAAACACAACAAGATGGCAAAATGCAGATGTAGAATGGAAGATAAAATTGAGGGCTGGAGTTATCTTCATGCTCTGATTAATCCAAACCTGGTTTAAAATACCAGCAATCGTCTGATGTGCTGTCAAAAACTCGTGGACTTAAAAAAGAGACTGGGAGTGGACAGGAAAAAATAGAAAGCACAAATGCAACATAAGAAGGAGAAATACTTCTGGCATTAAAGTGTGGTTCTATTCTCAAGGGGAATGAATGAAGACTCTGGAAAAGAGCTGCTGAAGAAACAAAGGAAATATGTCACTGTGAGAACAGAGACTAAAATTCTCAAATAAAGAGCCAGCAGGAGACCATCTGCAATACTCATCTGCCAATCCTTGAGCTAAATTCATATTTTCTAAAGATCATATGCAGTGCTGATTTGATAACCTTTAATGCTTTCTTATAATAATATCATCATCAGAATCTGTGTTAATAAATGTGATCCTGCTTAATCTTTCTGTTATCAGTAGGTACCTTACAGTAAATGAGAGGCAGTTTATGGCCTCTTTTTCTCCTTCCTTTTCCTATCCCTTGTTTGGGAAAAATAACTAGGAAAAAAAAAGCAACATCTTAAAAGCTCTTTTAGTCTCATTAAAGACTTTAAATCTTCCCGTCTTTATGTTATCACAGAACATAAACTTCAGTTTATGTTGTTATTTTGATTAATGGTAAGTGTCTCTGGCGGTGTTTTATATTCTGCTCTTTATTTCTACCAAAAATCAATGAAGCACATCATCTCGCTTACACCAGATCAGCAGAAATCTTTCAGGGGAATGTTGGCATTAGTCTGCCTCGAGACTTTATTCAAATAAAGTCCCTTTTTGTAGAAATTTACAGTCTCGTTCAGGCACAGAGAAGACAATTCATACACACAATGATAGTCTAGAGGGCAGTTTGTTCATTGTAAAATAAAGCAAGCTGGCTGCAGAGTTGCTCAAGTGGACTCTTCAGTTTGTAGGCATTTTAATAAGACTGTAAACTAAACAAAATCGGTTTTCCATTAAATTGGTGTTGCAATGTGTTTTCTTTCACAGCTGATGCTCTGCCGTATGGCGGAGTCTGAAATATATTGCCTTATTCCTTGAAGGTGCTCAAGAGACATTTAGACGTGGTACTAAGAGGCATGTTTTAGTGGAGAAATATTGGTGGTAGGTGGATGGTTGGACTGGATGATCTTGGTCTTTTCCATCCTTGGTGATTCTATGATTCTTGAAAATTACCTGAGCTGGGAATGGGAAGACATGAAACCTCTCATTGCTTCTACACAGAGGAATCCAAAATTCTTATTGTAAAGACAGAATCCATGCTTCTAGAGAGGGAGGGAAGGGAATCATTTGTTATAAGATTTTTAGTATAAGATTTATTTATTTTGTGAAAAAGAATTATTCTGACATGATGAAAGCTTCATTGCAGACTCTGAAAAGCAAGGAAGTATCTGGATAGAATGAAGTCCATTCGCAGTGGCAGTCGTTCCAGAAGAAGAACTGTTAAATTAAAATGTGGATACTTGTTCCCTGTCTAATTTCCAGTATGTATGAAGGTTTCTTTTTGAAAACTATTATTAATTAATATAATTTGTGAAATATATGCATTATAACATAATAATATAAATTTCCACCTCGTATAAAAGGCAACAATAATAGCAGATGTGAATTTTTACATATTTCTAGGCAAGCATTTTCGGCAGCAGTAAATTAATTGCTTTTCCTGTGGTCTCTGTATTGTATTGTATTGTAAAATGTGTTCTAGATGTCTATAGGTTTATTAGAGTTATTTACAGGTATGTTATAGTTGCCAAGGTTTATTGAATGTTACAAGAGCTTTTTTTAGTGGGGTTGTGCAGTGACAGAGTTCTTTTGCATCATTTGGGTAGTAGAGAGGAGAGTAGTGGAATCCTATTAGGAGGTTGAGAAGGATCAGAAGGAGAAAGGCAAAGATGTGTCCACTTTAGGGCTGTTCCTCTCTTCTGGGCTTTCTGGGACCTGACTGCTTTAACAGGTGCCTTGAAGCCATAAATCTGTGGGCAGTCACTGAATGCAGCTACTTTTCTTTACTTGTCCTTAGAACTCTGGTAAATAGTTGATAAATTCTGCATACTGGGCGTATTGTATGAACCCACATATGACAAAACTTTGGATTTCAGGGAATCCAAAACTTTAAGATGTGCAAAATAAGGTGATCAGAGCAACTGACATAGCTATAAACATGAAAAAGAAATTGAATAAAGAAAGAGGATGTATATTTCTCTACAGTGAAGTTTTTCTATATGTCTACAGAAATATTAGGATGGTTTTCAACAAGCCTCTGATTTCTTTAATGCTCACGACATGACCAGCTAATATTTCAGGGAAAAGGATACTTTCTTGAATACTAAAATATCTCGAATTTCAAGAGATTAATCACTAGGTGGCACTTTTGCTCTAATTTGTCTTGTATTCAACAGTCATCGTGAAAAAGGAACTTGATTTAGTACAGCTTTTATCTGAGAAAGTGTATGTTCAATGGATCTAAAAAAAGATACTTTAACCTTATGTGCATAGCTGAGAAATAATCATAAATAATTAAATTAGCATCTTCTTTTGTAGATTTCAGAGAGTTCATCACCAGTAAGTATGTTTACCTGCACTTTTCCATGTGACAACAGTAAGGTTAAGACAACAGCAGAGGAAACAGATCCCTACCAGTGGCACTCCACGATATTTCACATAAACGTGCACCAGAACTACTGAATGTCCCTGTAAAGGCCCTGAGCACTTTGGCTCACTCTTGAGGGTGAGACTTAAAGCCATCTTGAGTACAGTACTGTTGTCTAGCGCTGAATTAAGGAGCTGGAGGAAAATTCATCTTGAGGAGCTGTAAGAACATGGCCCTGCACATGGTACCCTTGAAGCCAGCTTAGGCTATACTTTAATAAAGCGTGACTATTTCCTTCCTGCTTAAATTGCTCATGATTGGACAGGGGTGAAATTCTGAGCTGTTTCTCTCCAATGTATGATCAGGATGCAACCAAAGTGGACTGTGCATAATGATGTCCCAGCTACTACGGGCTCTTGTGGAGCAGAGGATAAGTAATGTCTTACTATCCTACTACAACTCCATAATCTCCAGGTAGGCATTGGTCTTCATTAAACTTGCAGCAGTCAGGCAGGAAGAGAGAGATGTGCACCAAAGATTTAGGGAAAGTTATGGACTGAAAAATGGCTTCCATTTACAGCAAGAGACTAAAGCAGTGAGAGGATACAGTCAAGGAACTTCTGTCACTGTTTTCTGCTAGGTTGCAGCATTATATAAGCAGTCTTGTCTTGTGCACACAGGATAGACTGGACAGTCTTCTATCTGCTGGCTTTGATCAACATCAGCAATACAAAATCAGAGTTTGTAGTATGAGTGATTTTTCAATCTCAGAATATCATCATCAGGCTTTTAGTTCATTTATTCGTACTCATTCTTTAGCTGGTTCAGTCATTCCATTCTTCTGCAAGTACAAGAAATTTATACCAGGAACTTTTTTTAAGTTTCTGCATTTGTTTTGTTTAGAAATCTCAAATCCAATCAAAATCATAATAAAGCCAAAGTAGTGAAGAAAAACGATAAGAAGGTAAAATAGGCATAAAAATGACTAACATAAAGGTGTGAATAACTTGTGCTAGCTCGCTAAGTGTGACCTTTGCCATCACTAGGAGAAAGCTCTGCTCTGACCCTGGCAGTGCACTTGGTAGTGTCACCCCGCAACCTGGCTGCAGCTTGGACTAACAACAGGGCAGAGGGCAATGGCTAAGCCCTGACAATTGCTTGGGTAGTGAGATACCACTGTATGATGAATATTTTATTTCTATAATATTACTATTTTCTATGAGTTAGA